AACTTTACAGATTTCTCACAAAATTCCAAGGCATTCATCCAAGCCGGAGAGAGACCCATAGGAAGACTGAGAACGAGTACCATCTCAGTAGATATTAGAGAAGACTATTTCTAAAACAATAAAAACATGCTAGTTGGACTTATGTCCTATAGTTAATTCCTCCATTGTGTTGGGAAAAAAAAAATTCAGTCTCCCTCCTAGCCCCCTCCAATCACACAGGAACAGTGTACGAATCTTTTGAAATCTTTTGATAACTACTTCAATATAATTGATTTCCTTGATAATCCTATGGATTTTATTCTGAGGAGGGGAGAGCTAAGCAGCCAAGCAGGTCCATGACACACACAAATGAAAAATCCCTGGTTTTCAACACAGGTGGCATCATTTCCTGGTCCCTAGCAATCTGTTTAGAAATATCGATTCTGGACACGCTTATATCCCCAACCTTCTGCCCCTGTCTACTTGATGGCTGTCACTACCTTTCCCCAGTATCAAAAGTCCTCAAGATGCAGACCTTGCTGGTATGTTCTCTTCCTGGTGGCATTTCTTTAGAAAATCCCCAGTTCTACCACTGATACCCTAGCTTTGGCCTCATCCCTCCATCCCATCATGCATTCTGTGGGTTCATACACCTCTCCCTTAAATGATAGTACCATCCCTATTTTCTATTCTGTTAGAGGCAGTCTGGACTGTGCAAGGGACTTGGAGCCACCTCAGATGTTTAAGAGCTATGACACTGGGCAAGTTATTTAACTTCTCTCAGACTGAGTTCTTTTCATCTGAAAAATGGCACCTTCCTTCCTCAGGGTGGTAATGAGAATCAAATAAGATGACAGAAAGAAAGGGCTTAGGAAGCTTTAAAGGGGTAGATAACAGTTAGCCACATTTAAGTCCCGGAGTGCTAGGGCCCAATTGCAAGCCACCAGCTTTCAGATACAACCTCCTCACCCTCCTCCAGTCTGGCTCCTTTATCTTGGCCATCTCAGCCAAAGCATCCCCCAAAATTCATACTCTAAATACTCTCTTCCTCCAAGGCTCCCAAACCACAGAATAATAAAGCACATTTTTATTGTGCTTTAAGATGTGCAAAGCTCTTTCCACACATAATCTCATTAGAGGCACCACAACCCCAGGAGGTAGGTACTATTATTTTGCCCATTTTGTAGAAGAGAACACAGAGGCTAAGAGGTTAAGAGACTAGCCCAGGTTATACAGCAAACTAATACCTGGGGTGGGATCTTAACTTTGTTTCTCTGAGTCTGACTTTTTATCATCTAAACCTGCAGCCTCGAGGCCACATGTGGCCCTCTAGGTCCTCAAGTTTTGCCCTTTGACTGAATACAAACTTCACAGAATAAATTCAAGGATTTGTCCCCTCCCCCCAAGCCATCTAGCTGCCCCACTCTCAGTACCCTCTGGGACAGCCTTCACCTCATACCCAGTTTCAGCTCTTCCACGAGTATCTCCTCCAAGAACTCCTAGTCTTTATTCCACCCAAGAGCATTCATCAGCTCAGACTCAACTATCACAGATTCTCTCTGAGGGGACACTTTCAGAGTCTACTTTCCTTGCCTCTCTCTGAGGTCTCATCTCCAGGGACCTCCTTGTCACAGGCTCTCCCTGAAATCCCTTAACTCATTCCCCTGTCCCATCTCCTCTCTGGAGTCCCCTCACATCAAACAATGCAGTTCTCTGAGGAGCTCTGACACCAGCCCTACTGTCAGTTCTTCTCCCCCCAGAAGCTGCATCACACATTGATCCTCTGGGCGAATCACTCTCCCTCTGACCTCCCGCCTAAGCCCCCTTTCTGGGGTCCCCTCCCCCCAAAAAAGCTGGCACTGCTATTTTCTGGGGGGCATTTCGACCTCAACCACCGTGGTCTCAGTCCCTCCTTTAGTTTCCCTTGACTAAGAGTCATCATTACAGTCCCTCCCTGTGGCCCTGTCACCTTGGAGCCTGCTATCATGGGGGCCTATCTGTCCCTTCAGCCCCACTGCCTCAAGGTGCTTTCCAAAATCTCCTCTAATCAGACCAGCCATCCCAGTTCCCATGGGGTACTCTCTCACATCAAACCCTGCCTTTACAATTGCTCTCTGGTATGGCCTGGCCATGGACTAAACCCTCAAAGCCCCTCTCATTCATCTCTGACAGATGGATTCCTCTTTGGGTGTCATTCTACTGAGATCCACCATCAGACCCCTTCTGAAGTTTCTTACCTTCACCTCCCCTCATCTCAGTCCCTCCAGTCCCTCGGTTGGTCACAGAGCCTTTCTGGGATCTTCAATCCTTCACACTTGCTCTCCAACCCTTCTTCTTCTTCTTCTTTTTTTTTTTTTGATGAGGCAATTGGATTTAAGTGACTTGCCCAGAGTCACCCAGCTAGTAAGTGATATGTGTCTGAGACTGGATTTGAACTCGGGTCCTCCTGACTCCAGGGCTGGTGCTCTATCCACTGCGCCACCTGGCTGCCCCCTCTCTCTCAAACCCTTCTTAAAGAGGTCCTCTTTACTCAGATCCTTACTGTCACAATTCAGCTATGGCTTCTGAGGTCAGGCCTGTGACAGTCATAGCCCCTCTCTGGAATTTTTCCTCATTATCTGGTATCTCCCTGGGGTAGTCTTAACCTCAGATTCACAATCAGTCTCTCTGCACTCCCCCCTTCCTTAGATTCAATATCATGGGGGATGGGAAGGGAATGAAGGCTGCTTCTTCTAATTTCCTTTCTCCAGATAATCCCCATGCCTTAAACCCCACTGTTCCAGCTTCTCTTCCCAGACACCTGATGTTTGGGATTTTCTCTTCTACTTTTTTGACTCTCTGGAGTCTCCCATCAAACTTACTGACCCAACTTCTTTCTGGGGGACCTTTCCCTCCCTGCCTTTCCCTCCAAGCCCTAGTGCCACAGGGGTCTCTTCCTGAAGACTTCCCCCTTGTATATCCCCAGAGGCGGAGCATATTCTCCCCTTGAGCAACTCCCTCTCTGGGGTCCCTTTCACTCAGACTCCCTGACTCTCAGTTCTTCTCTGGGGTCTCTTCCCCTTAGACTTCCCGTTTTATACCTCTTTAGGTTCTGATGTCCTCAAATCACCTGCCACCAGTCCTGAGGGGCTTCTTCCTCTCAGATTCCACATTCAGTCTCCCTTGAGGGTCTCTTTCCTTCAAACCTCTGGTCAAAGCCTCTCTATGAAGTCTCAATCCCTCCAAACTTCCTATCCCACCCAAGACCCTGGATGGACTCTTGTTTCCTCCCCACACTGCTTAGCTCTGTCCCATCATTCTAATAGAAACAGCCAATCTTGCTGGAGCCCTGCTTCAGACTCCCCTCAGCCCCTCCAGGAGGGGCTCTTGGTCTCTGGCATTGTATCACATTTTTCTTTCGGTGGTATAATCCCTGATTGTTAGCTTTTATAGCTCCTTTGGGATCTCCTCTCCTTAATGCCTCTCTCAGATCCAAGGTGTTTCCAGAATATCCCCTCAGGCACACTTTTACTGCCCCGGGGTGGGTGTAGGTGAGGAATCTGCCCTAACAAAGCTTCTTTCAGGGGTTTCCTCTCCCAGATCCCCTTCTCACAGGCCCTGTAGGGAGTCTTGTATTCTCAGATCCCCTATTGCCACCCTTTTCCTGCTATTCCGGTCCCTGGGTTAGGGTGGGCTAGGGTGTCTAGGTGTATCTCAGCTTATAGAAGCTCAGCCCCTAGGGGAGAGGGAGTGGTATAGCCTGTTAACATATACCTCTCTAGGTGGTTTCAAGACAGTTAACAGCCTTTCGGACAGTCTCTCCTTTTCACAACCCCTGAGGGTTGGGGGAAAGGGATGGAGTATGGGGAGGGGAGGAATTCTGCTATGGTCTTTGCCTTTCTGGGAGTTTTGTCCCCTTGGTCACCTCTCACAGGTCTCTGCCTGTCCTAGCCCTTCCCAGAGTTCTCAGCCTGTCCCAGCTTCTTCTGGGAGTCTCCACTGTTCAAATCACTCCGGATGGGTTTCTTTCCTCCGGTCTTCCACTGTCCTTGCTCCTTTCTATGGTTTCCTGCCACTGTTCCTCTTGGGAGGTCTTTTTGTCTGGGTCTTCTGTCCCTGTCTCTTGAGGGTCTATCACTATCACATCCTGTTGTGGGGGTCTCAGTCATCCCAGACCCTCTGGGGGGGCAGCCAGTTACAGACCTTCTTAGGGTTTTTTCTGGTCAGGAATTTTCTGCTGTCATAGCCCATCTTAGGGGTCTCAGACTATCCCAGCCTTACTCAGGGGTCTCATCACTTGGTCTCTGGTCCCTACTCCTTAGGGGGGAGGTCCGTAGTTGTCACAGACTCTCTTTAGGATCTTCTGTCATGGTCTCTTAAGGTCTCTGCCAGTCCCAGGATCTCTTGGGGTGGGGGGGTCTTTCACAGTTTATGTTCCTCTCCAGGGTCCCCTCTTACAGTCCCCTCTCAGAGGCCTCAAGTTGTCACAGCCACTATCAAGAGTCTCTTCCTCACCTAGTCTCTCATGGCCTCAACCTATCCCTGTCCCTCTCCAGAGACCCTTCATGTCACAGCTCTAGCTTCCGATCTCAGACTGTCACAGTCCCTATCAAAAGTCTCCTTCAGTCACAGCCCCTTTTGGGGGTCTCTTGCCATCTCTGACTCTCTCAGGAATCTCTCAAAGTTCCTGTGCTTCTCTGGGACCCCTCATGTCATAGTCCTCTGTCGGGGGTCTCCATCTGTCAGCCCCTATCCAGAATCTCCTGTCACAGCATCTTGGGGGTCTCTTGCTGTCTCTGCCCCTCTCGGGGGTCTTCGACTGTCACAGTCACTTCTCGGGGGTCTCTGGCTGTCCCTGCCCCTCTCAGGGGTCTCGTACTGTCACAGCCCCTCTCCGGGGTCCCCAGCGGTCCCCGTCCCCACGGGGGTCTCAACCCTTTAGTCTCCAGTCTCCGCCCCCTCGGGGGTCCCCGCCCCGCCCCGCCCGCCCCCCGGTCCCGCCCCTGTCCCGCCCCGGGCTGGGCTCCTCCGCTCCCTCTCACCTGGTGCGGGGCTGCCCGCCGGGCTAGGTTCCGGGTCCTGGGTCTAGGGCTAGGTCCGGAGTTGGCCGGTCGCTCTTGCTCCGCTGTCGCCGCCCGGTGCCTGGTGCCCGCTCCCTCCTCCTCCTCTTTCCCTCCTCCCGCCGCCGCTGCTGCTGTCCGAGGTGCGGCTCCTTCCAGGCGCGGCCAATCGCACCCGAGAGCACCGAGCCCCTGCCGCGCCCCGCCCCCGCCGCCGCCGCGGACACTCCCCCACCACGCCTGGGGCCGGCCGATCGGTCGGCGCTCCGCTCGCCTCCCCTGCGCGCTCAAGGTCCAACAGCGGGCTTCTCGATCGGCCGGTGCTCCATTCGTCCGGCCTAGTCTCGGAGGAGTAGTCGATGGAAGGCCGTCGGCGATGCGCTGGGGGTGGAGCCGGCGCCAGCTAGGCCCCGCCTCTCGCCTTTCGGAGCCCAAGAGGTGCGGCTCTGCGCCCACGCTTCTGCTGGGGTCAAAGGTCACTGCGCTCCCCTCCCCCCCGTCCGAGGTCATGACCTGGGCTGGGGCTGCCCTGGGCGGCCCCAGGGAAACCCGGCCCTGCTTTTTGGAGGGTATCAGTCCGGGCTGCCATCCCTGGACAGCTGCCCCCGAAGCCAGCCCGCCCAGGACACCCTGTGCTGGAAGGGGGCAGGCAAGAGGCTCTTTGAGATCTTCCATCTCCTTAGTCTGCAGGGGACTTCCCAGGGCCTCCTGGAGGCGAGTCCTTTAAGACCCTGGGAGGTAAGTAGGTGCAGGTATTAATTAGCAGCCCCCTATTTGGCCTAGGGACTGGAGAGATACCCCCCCCTCCCCGGAGCGGAGTGCAGCTAGAGGTGGATAAAGGCGTGGGGGCTGGACTTAGCGCAGTGTCTTTGCTGCTCCATAAACCTCGAGCAGATAATGGATCTGACGGAGAGTAGGTTTTCTCTCTCCTCTCTTCTCTTCTTCTCTTTTTCCTCTCCTCTTTCTTCCTCTGTCTTCTCCCATCTCCTCTCCTATACACGTATTCTCATCGCACCCTGGTTACCAGAGCTCAGCAAGCCTGCATTTCATAGCATTGTCAAGCACAGTCATTGTCAAGTTGTGGGTTTTGAACGTGTGTCATCAACCACATAGGGAGGGAGGAACGGTGGGAAAGAAACACTCTGTAACTAGTAAGTGACCTTTGGCAAAATTGTATTCAATTTCCAAATAAACAATGTTCCAACAATAATCAAGTTTTCCAGTTATGTTGTAACCAAGTGTTTTTTTCTTCTAGAGTTTGTAATTGAAAGTGCTCTCTCGCTAGCCACCCCTCTTTCCTCCTTTCCGCCATTCCCCTCCTTGTTCCTCTTTTCCTTTCCCTTCTTTCCTCCCACCCCCAGGGTCTTCTCCCTTCCTTTTGAGAAAGTTCTGCTTTTGATAAGCCCGGAGCCTGGCCTTGAGCCAAGCCATACTATGCTGCATTCTGGGTTGACCTTTCATTCCTGTAGAGCTGATCCATCCTTTCCATTGCCAAGATATTAGGTGTGCGTTTAAGCAGGTTGCCTTTCAGTCATGACCTTTCTTTATGGGTCAAAAAATAGCGGTCTCATCCTCAAGTTGTAACACTGCAGCATTCTTGGACACTCTAATGTACTGTGATGGAAACACATTCATCTATTTCAGCACAAATTCCAACTTATGTACGAACCTTGACAAGCATGCTTTTTATGAAAGTCTTTGCCATTAATGAGATTCTCCCATGGCAGTCTGAACAGCAAGAGTGTTTGTTTTGGGGTTTTTCTTCGTTTTTTTTCTTTTTTGGATGCCATATGCTTTTCAAGTTTGGGGTTTAGAAAACAATGTATAGGCATTTCAAACATTTGTTACTACTTTAAAACCTTATTCTCTTCCTCTTCAAGAAATCAAAGTTTGTATTTGGGGCTAATGGAAGTAAGTGTCCTAGATGGGTGCCAATGGTAGCAAAACTTTCATTGAAATTAGTTTCTTAAAAGAGGACAGGTAACCTGTGCTAGCAGAGTTGTTGAGAATAGGAAGAAGAGGGATTTCAGTGATTTCCTGAGATATTACATCAAGAAGATAGTATGGAGCATGGATTTTGGGAAATGCCATTTTTGGGGGAGGGGGTGAGTTATTTATAATAAAATGAAAGCAGATGTTGAGGAATTTAGGTGCAAGTAGAATACCCACCCACACACACACACAATCTTTTCCTGAAGTCCATAGTCAATTTTGCATCTTATGTTAAAAAATAGAGAAGTGGGGGATGAACCTTGAGATCAACATTGGTTTCGCATCATTGTTAGAATTTGAGAAATTCCTGGAAAAACCCTGTAACATTAGAATATAAGTTAAGATCCACCCCATTCTGGACAAGATCATACTTGAGTATCTTTTCTGGGCAGACAAACCCCTGGTGACACTATCAGAAAGGACTGGGGTTTAAATTGGAACAAGGCATGAAACTGCAACCTCAAAACAAAGAGAAATGGAAGAAAAGGCCTTATGGGTTATCCTGGATTAGGGGTGGGGAACCTGTGGGCTCTAGGAAGCATGTGCCTCTCTAGGTCCTCAGGTGCAGCCCTTTGACTGAATCCAAACAGAACAAATCCTTTTATTAAGGGGATTTGTTCTGTGAAGTTTGGATTCAATCAAAGGGCTGCCCTTGAGGACTTAGAGGGCCACCTCAAGGCCACAGGTTCCCCACTCCTGGTCTGTATAGAGTCATCATAGACATATAGAACCCCTGGGTTCTACTTGTGACTTGACTAATTAGTTTGTTTCATTTTTCCCTCTCAATAAAGTCAAACCTTTTTTTTTTAAGTAAATTTGGTGCAAACATCCTGGAGATATGTTCATGGTAAATTGTGTGTCATTTTGTTCCAGTTTTGTCTTGACCTTGGGATAAGCCACTTAGCTTTTCTCAAGACAGCAGTTTCTTTATCTGTCCTATGAAAGGTTTGGTCTGGATTATCTGAGGCCCCCTTCCAGGCCACTTAATAAAAAAATTAGCAAATATTTGCTCCAGCCAGCTCTGCATTAGGTCATTAGTAAAATAAGCAATCAGGGTGAATCCACGTGCAAATTTAAGCTTTTAGGTATACCCTACTTTCTAAGGAAAATGCTCACTTCAGTTTGTTCTAACAAGTGTGACAAGGTCTTGTAGGTAACCCTGATTGGCAGGGATCAGTTAGTGGTATGGGTAAACTATAGATGGGGGCAAAACCTTTTTTGTTTGTTGTTTAGTTGTGTCTGACTCTCAGTGACCCCATTTGGGGCTTTCTTGGTAAAGATATGGGAGTAGTTTGCCATTTCCTTCAGCTTGTTTTACAGATGAGGAAGCTGAGGCAAACGGAGTTAAGTGACTTGCTGTGGCTCACACAGCTAGTGTCCGAGTCCATATTTGAACTCAGAAAGATGATTCTTTGACTCTAGGCATGGTGCTCTATCCACAGAGCCACCTAGCTCCTCCCCCCCCCTTTTTTTTGGTTGCTGGCAGAAATGGGCTGGGAAACATTCCTCCCTAGCCTTTTGTCCCCCTCCCCCTCTTTACCCTCTGCTTACCTGAAGGTGGGAGGGTGTTGGATATTTGAGTTGGGTTGTTAATATGAGTTGGGTTCTTAATAAAGCTCTGATATTTATTTATCTATTGCTTGCCCTTTATTGAATTTCTGATATTCAAAGCAGTAAATGGGAAGTGAAGGCTTTTGATTTTCTTTTTCTGACTCTGTGACTCAGAATCAAGGGCTGGGTGGGGCCACAGAACTTGGAATGCCAGAGCTGGGAGGGCCCAGGAGGACCCAGGCCTACAGTGCTTTGAAGTGAGAGTTGGATAACTTGGGTGGGAACTGAGGCTCTGCCACTTACAATCTCTAACTCTGGGCAAGTCAGGCAAGTCAAGAAGCATTGATTAAGCTCCTGTTATGTGCCTGGCACTGTGCTAAGTGCTGGTGGGATACAAAGACAGCTCCCACCCCCCAAAAAAGTCCCTACTCTCAAGGAGTTCACAATGTAATGGAGCCTCTTCTGGACTTCCATTTTTTCTTTCAAAAGAGGGGGTTGAAATGGACGCAAAGTGGAGACAATAAGTCTGGGAGTATCTGCCTCACCAGGTTCTTGTAGGGCTACCATGAGATAAAGTCAGTCAAATACACTGTAAACTTTAATGTGGCACATAAATGTCAGTTATTGTCTCCCTTAGCACCTACCTCAGCCTCTTAGATCCCCTGGTCTTCTGTGAAGGTCATAAATGACAACTCCTTCAAGAGGCCTTTCCTGATTGGGCATCTTCCTCTTCCCATAATAATCATAATGATAATAATGACAATAATAATAGATAGCACTTGTATTGTGCTCACTATGAGGGCTTCCCTTTACAATTATCTCTTCATCCTCATGAGAGAGGGGGTAGGTGGGAAGGGAGGTACTATTGCTATCCCCACATTTTACAGATGAGGAAACTGAGTCAGGTAGTGACTTGCTCAGGGTCATTCATCTAGTAAGTGTTTGAAGTCATATTTGAACTCAGGTTTTCCTGACTCCCTGCCTGGTGCTCTATCCACTGTGCCCAATAACTTGGTATTAGTTCTTCATTGTCACACTATTTACATCCTCTGTTCTCTATTTACTTTGCTGTGAACTTGACTATCCCGTCCCCCCCCCCCCCCCCCGCAGAATGGCAGCTTCTTGAGGGCAGGGGCTGTTTCACTTGTGTGCTTGTCTTCCCCCATACCTGGCACACAGAAGGCGTTTAATACTTGCCCGATCAGGTATTAGCCTACACGGTATCTAAGGTCCCTTCCAGCTCTCCGTAGACTTTAGACCTGGAAGAGATCTTAGACCCACACGGGTCTAACCTGGGGTTCTTAACCTGGACTCCTCGGTTCCCCCCAGTTCTAGTGGATGATTACATCAGTGATAGCATTTATCCATTTTAGCGCTTGGAGGTTTGCAAAAAGCAGCTGGCCGCATCTCTTCGGAACCTCACCGCAGCCCCTAGAGAAGGGTGCTACGGGAAATAGTGTGCCCATTTTACAGATGGGGAATGACGTGTCTGGCCGGAGGCTCTCGGAGTTGCTACTTCCGAACCGCCGGGCAGTTCCAGCCGGCTGGCGTCCCAGGGTCCATTTCCCCTCGGGCCCCAGCCCCCCACCCTCTGGCTTCCCGCCTGTGAGCATTCGAGCCCTGGGGGCGGGGTGGGAGCAGAGGCCGAAGCCGTCATCGTGACCGTGATTCGCAGTACGGGCTCCGGCGCCGCCTCGTGGCCACTTGGGGAGGAGCGTCCTGGAGCTCAAAGGAGGGAGGGGTTTGGAGGGGCGGGGAACAGGAGGAGGAGCGGGGTCCTGACAGTTCCGCGGGGCAGCGCTCGTTTCGCCTGCTCATGCATATTCATGAGCTCCCACCCCCGGGGCTGCGGGAGCCGTCCGAGCGGACGCGGCGAGCTGGGAGCGAGAGGCGTCATGAACTCAGGTGAGGAGCTGGAGCTTCGGGCTCGCCAGAGGCCGCTTTTGTATATTGGGTGGGGCGGGCTGGGAGCCGGCGGGATCGGGCGCGAGCCGGGCAGCCCGTGACCCGGAAGCAGCCGCGCGAGGCCCCCGTTGCTGAGCGCGAGCGCCGGGGGCGGAGCTTGAAGGCGGCTGCTGCGGCGGCGGCGGCGGCGGCGCCTGAAGAAGAGGAGGAGGAGGCGGCGACGGCGGCGGAGGCCGAGGCCGAAGCGGCCGCTCCCTGAGCTCCCTCCGCGTCCCTGAGCCCGAGGCCGACACATCCCACAGCCTCAGGCCCGGGCGGCGGCGGCGTTATGAGCGCGGCCGGGCTGCTGGTCCCGGCCCCCCGCCGGAGCGCCACCCGCCCCGGAGTATTACCCAGAGGAGGAGGAGGAGCTGGAGAGCGCCGAGGACGACGAGCGGAGCTGCAGAGGCCGAGAGTCCGACGAAGGTGCCGCCCACCGGGCTGGGGGAGGGGAGTAGGGGAGCGAGAGAGCGCTGCGGAGAAGGCCCGGCGTCCGGCCTCGGCGCCTTTGTCCACGCTGGGGCCCACGCCTGCAATGCGCTCTCCGCGGCGTGGGGGATGGGAGGGGGGGGGCAGCCTTGTCAATACGTTTTGTTTCTGATATGGTAGAGGTCAATAGGTTCTATCTAAACTATAGCTCTTTTGCGGGGTAGGGGGCTCCTCAAATTTTAATCCTGGGACCGAAAAATGGGAGAACCGCGGGATGGATTCTAGAGC